CTATAGCATTAAATGAAAAAATTATTAATAATCTTTAGGATTCACTTTCAAAATAAACGACGAAATAATCTTATATAGTTATCATACAGTTCATATCTTTATCAGATTTTTTAAAAATCTGTTGCATGCATCACACAGCTTTAAATTATTAAATAATATTAAATTTCTGAAATCGCTTTAATTGTGTACGCGGTACCTGATCTATATTATATATATGTATGCATATATTAAAATATTTTTAATAATCGACCTTTGTATATTATAACTTCAGATGGTAATTATAGTTCTAGTAATAGGTCCTGAACTACACTTCCATAAACTAAAACAGCGCTTGTTTATTCTTTTTATTCATGATTCATTTTTAAAATAAATAATGGGACCCTCTTCAGTTCTGGAGAAACAATACTTATCATTGGTACAACAAAAAAAAGTTTGCATACATTTTAACCATTGTACTAATGATGGCTATTGTTTTCCAGAACTGAAGATCCCATTATTTACTTAAGAAAAAACAGGGATCGAAATATTTTTAAATTAGAAGAATAAACAGGAGTTGTTATTGGTCGTTGAAGTGTAGTTCATGGCCTATTATTCGACTATAATTACTATCTTAAGTTATGTAGACATATATATATATATTTTTTGTGAGCCAAAGTTTCTAATAAATTTCGGAAATAAAGATGTTCTGCTGCTAATAGACGGCAAAATAATATCCATCTACTTCTCCAAACTCATAGTATATCATGGATTACAAAAAAAAAAAAAAAAAAAAAAAAAAAAATGATATTTCTAATTTTAAAAAGTATTACTCAAGAATTAATATTATTTTTAATTCTAAAAATTTTGTTCAACATAATGATTAGGGTATGATTTTTATCATTTATGATCAAAAATAATAATCGTTCTTAATAAAAATCATGAAATCATTTTCAAAAATTCTGATCAGAATTGATTTTTATTTTTATTTTTTTAATTATCGATTTCAAATCCTGATATTAGTTTTCAGAAATTGCAGGCACCCAATAGTTGGTCTAAAAGCATGACGATGCTCTGGATATTATATACTAATTTATTATAACATGAATTTAGAATCTGACAATGGAGCACATCAGATTGAAGCCATGAATCAACAAAAAAACATTGGAATTATGGCTCTGAAGATGGGAGTAAATATCCCGAAACGTTAACATGTAATTTGGAAATACAACAAATAAATTAAATTGTTGTTTAATTGGAAGTCATCATTGCCAAAAACAAAGATTTTTATTTTTTTAATTATCGATTTCAAACCCAGATAATAGTTTTCAGATATTGCAATTAATATTTTTTTCTTCATTTCCCATTACTTTTTATAACTTTACAAGATAAAGTTTTTCAACGATATATTATACATATATATTACTAATTTATTTCTGAAAATTTGTTTTTAACCAGCTTTTGCTGAGTATCGAGTAATATAATTTGTTTTGGGAGACTATTTTTTCTTCTACTGTTAATTACAGAATTCTTTCATACTTTATATTTAGTCACTTATTGTTAATATTTACCGTGAGAGGATGATATTTATATGAAATAAACTAGATTATAGATGATTTGAATAAAGCCATTTCGATAATTCGGCATTCAAGCCTTATCAGACTACTTCAATGAGGATCTGGCTTACCATACATTAAAAACTATTTAATTTTACATTAATATAACGAGTTTAATAAAAATCTTTAGAGCCGTTTTCGAGAAATTCAATACAAATAAAATCGATTATGTAAGTACCATTTTCGGTTGGTCGATTTCAGTGAAACAGTTGTCGTGACATCTTATATATATACATAACTTAAATATTTAATTTTAGGACTTTTTGTTTTTTTGGTTAAGCTGTTGACATAAAAACACAGACAAATATGATGGATTTTGTTATTTAGAATATAGGGAACTCAAAACATGAATTTCCGTTGAAAAATCGAAAATGATCACTAGATTCGAAATTTTTCACGATCGCAATACTTTATCTTACTATATATTTCATATATAACTAATTGATAGTAAAAATTAAACGATTAAAAATGATAGCATGCCTTAATGCCTTAGCGTGACTAAATAATTCTGAAATCTATCAGCTTCACTGGCAGTGACCTAAATCATAACTTATATTCCTGGGCATCTTTATTTAGCTCAAGGTAGCTTGTTCTCATTAAAATAACTGAAATATTTGTGTCATTGTTCTCATTAAAATAACCGAAATATTTGTATTATTGTTCTCAATAAGACACTGGTGTTTGTACTGAGTACTTAAAGTATTTTAAAATACAAAATAAATCATTTTTGTAATCATGTAAAGCATCTAGTAAATTTGAACATATGGATATAATGACATGAAAACACTTGCTGAGTAACTACCCACTGGTAGCACTCTAATGATATTTCTACATTAGGAGATCACGGGGCCATCTTCTTTTCAGACGCCTCGGAGGGTTATCAGGAATTAAAGAGGAAGCAAGGCTAGAAACGAGAGGGTTGGGATGATTCTGAAGTTTATTATGGAAGGATAGATTGGGTCAGATCTGAAACATAAGAAACATTAAGGTCATCATGGATGGTTTTATTTGTAACAAAGTATTTGTTACAAAGCAAGGAGCATTGAGGATTTTACAAAGAATTTTGGATTGTAAGGATTGGATACGAGAGGAATTGGATGGTTTAGTGGAGCCCCAGACCTCAACTCCGTAAGTCCAAATAGGCCTTATTGTAGTCATGTATATGAGTATTTTGTAATTAATTGGAAGTTTAAAGCGTTTCTCTAGTAAGTGCTGAAGGAATTGTAAACGTCGAGCGGCTTCATGTCGTTTCAGTCTGGTATGAGGTCCAAGATACTAAAATAAATGATCAAATAAAAAAGATTCCCTGTACTATTATTGATCATTCGCTAAGAAGTATTCTGTATTTGTATTATATTTTTTTAAAACACTTAAATAGTTTGTAATTAAAATATACTGTATTTTAAAAATTCAAAACACTTGGTATTTTAAATAATATATTTTAAAATAATAACTAAAATACTTTTTGCCTAGGTAAGCAGAGCGTTATATTCGCTATTACTGATTAAAATAATTTCGTTTGCCTTAGCTAATTGTAAAACTACAAAGAAACTAGATATAGGAAAATATTGCGAATTATTTACTTTTTTTTTTTTTATTGAAGACTATAGATTTTGTTTATCTATTTCTAATTTACTTATTAGATAAATGTTTATTTGACATTTGTAGACGTTTAAAGGAATTGAAACATCGATATACATCATATCGATAGTTTTAGAATTTATCGAAATAGTAATTAGGTATATTTAAAAAATATCGATATTTTGTAAGTCGGACTTCAATATTTATAATCAATGAATGGATTAAGGGAATTAATATATAGATATGTTTGTGTGAGTAATTTTCAAATATATCGAAATATCAATATTTCCCGCATTGATGAAGTAACAGGAAAGTGAATGATGAAAGTCTAAGATTTTTAATAAATTTAAAAAAAATATATATACTTCTGTGATATAAAAATAACAAAACTATTTATTAATAGACAACAAAACTAGGAATAATACAAAAAAAATCAATTAAATTGCTTAAACATAAAAATAGAAATAATGAAAGAATATTAACACTAAATGAAATACTAAAAGTATTAACATTTATTATAACAAAGACTTATTACTAAGAACTAGAGAAAAATTAATTAAATCGCTCAGCATAAAAAAGAAAGAAAATCAAAATTAAATTAATTGTGACTTCAAATATTCTCAAATCTTCTATTATTATTTTCTTTACAACATTTTCTAGTATGTATTATCATTGTAAAACAAAAAGCATGAACAATGAAAGGAAGAAAAAAAAATGTATATATATGTATATATATATATATATATATATATATATATATATATATATATATATATATATATATATATATATATATATATATATATATATATATATTTATTAATATAAACTAGCCACTTCTGTATAATTATATCTAAGTTGATTTATTAAGGAGTATGCTACAAATTATTTTATATAAAATTAAGTGTTTAAAAAAATACGCAATTTACTTCCTCAATATATTTAAAACAACTGAAGAAAAATATTGACGTATTTTGTATAAAAAAATATCGATATTTTCTCAATTTCCTTCACCCAACTTTTTGACATAATATTTATATAGATGTCTTCTAACTTAATCTTAAACATTTTCACTTTTTCTGGTCATTATAACATACAAAAAATTATACATTTTTATTCTTTATATTTAAAAATAATTATTACATTTTGTATGGATAATTTTATATTGAATAAAACTACCGTAGAAAAATATAGGTGTATTATTTTATTCGATATTTTCACAAATTCCCTTGCAAAACCTTTTTTACTATTATTTATGTATTTGGAATTATTTATATATTTTTATATTTATAATATTAATTTCATTTTATATGAAGATCGTTTCATTACCATCGTCCTATTTCATTATCACACTGAATTAAATAAAACTAAATATTCTAATATAGCAATTTTGTCCTAGAGATAGGAAAAGAATCTAATTCGTCGACAAATTTAATGTAAACTATAAAAGCTTTAAAAAAAAAATTGAAAAAGATTTTGGAAGATATGCGTGTCGCTTTTCATTGATTTTTTATCAAACCAGATTTTTATAAACATAAACGTAATTTTTGAAATCCATTTATTGCATGTTAATAAAACAGATCATTTCAAAGTCTTCATTTATAAGAAAAGTTTGTTAATAGTGAACTTATTTTAATTTTATTAATAATTTTTAGACAAAAATATTTATTACATGAATACCGGCTTTAGTCAATAAATAAAATAATTTAATATATGTTTAGGTTTAAATTGTCGTAAATTGTTAGACAGTTAAATAATAGTTAATATTTTTATATTAATAAAGTTAAGTTGCTTTCAAGACATTAAAAAATTTTTAAAAAAGAAGAAAAAAAAGTCTTCCATAAAAGTAGCTGCTGGGCGGGCAGGTCGCAATGCATGCCGGTCCGTTTTAGGAACGAGCACAGGACTCTATAGGCGGGCCAATAGGAAGCCAATATTCTATCCTGGTCACTTTTCTGTTACTTGTGCCATTATAACTACAGGGACTCCAGTTGTCAAGATTGTGAGTGTTAGTCAATTCAAGGAAATATTAAATTATTGTTAGTGCTTCTCCTTCAAACTTCCGAGTCATCTGGTTCATAATTGTAAGTCAGGATATTGATTTTCATCCCCTGGTCTCAAATTCAACCCACTTACACCAAAAAAGCCAGTATTTAAAGACATAGTGACCTTAAGTTTTTCCCTAAAAAACGTATTTTTATCATATTTATTTATATAATTCACTTGAAAATATATAATCGAAACCCATACATTAACAGTGCTCAGTAATTGTTTAATTGAAAATTGTTCTTTATCATCAAATAAAATCAATACTCTTAATGTTTATTTCAATTATCAAGTAAAATATAGTTTCAGTATATTAATTTCTTAACCACTGAATAAACTTGATATTCAATTAATACAATCCACATGTTGCAAATTCATGTGACTAGAATTACATTTCTCAGTTGTTTTGTATATTGTTTAATACCAAGTTACAATTATGATAGCATGTTATGAAATACAGTTTTAACTCAAAATAATTAAATTATTCTGATCGTTCAGAAAGAAAATCTACAAAAATGACAGACCGAAAGGCAGTTATCAAAAATGCTGATATGTCAGAGGAAATGCAGCAAGACGCAGTTGACTGTGCGACGCAAGCACTGGACAAGTATAATATAGAAAAGGTAATTTTTTATGTTTCTTTTATAAATTTTTGAAAACAGGTGCTAAAGGGTGGGGTTACCTTTCTATATTCTATATTTGGGCATACACATGAATTACTTAGTTATTATTTATTAAAATACGCTATCTTATATTTTTACTGCGTCTTCCTTGTGTATTGCAAAGATTTACTGAATTTTTCTTAACATTGTGACTTTAAAGTCTAATTTTAAGTGTATTACACACAGATATTTTTTTGAACACTAGATGCTACCGACGTAGCTTTGAAAAGCAACTTTTCAATGGTTGTTTTTATCGATTATGTTTTTAAAAGAATTATTTATAGTCTCTTGTAATCATTTTTCATCTTCATGTTAATGGTTTTTAATGAAATTGAAAAAAAAAAAAATTATATATTTTCGTAAATAAAGAATTCTATAAACTTCTTGGCGTCGTTAAAATCCTACATTATGTTTAGTGGATTTAATTTCTGGTCCCATTAAGATGTTTGAAATAGTTCTCGGATTTTATATTTATTTTATAAATAGATTTAGTAATAATATATACAGATTTAAAGTTAATGTTTACAGTTTAAAATTAGATTATCCAAAGTATTTTCTTTTGATTTAAAATATGTTTCTAAGCTTAGAATAATTGTTTTTTCTTTAACGTGCTATGTGATTTTTGTTTGACAATAATGAATACTAAATAGTAAAATAATAAAAAGAACATAAAACAAAGATAGATTGGTAATTTAATGATGCCTTTATTAAAAATGTAAAATAGTGATAAACAGAATTTGATAATAAAAATTTTATAATTAATTGTAAGTAAAGAAGATTTTATAGGTTTTAAGGTGACATATCAAGTAATATCTCAAGATACATTGATAACTTAAAACATATATGGTAGAATTAAGAATAAAATTTTTTAGGTTTTTTATTTTACTTTTTAAATTAATATTTGTTGAATGTAGAGTAGTAAGCGAAATTTCTGTGATGCGTACCACAGCACATTTCATTTTTAAGACTGGCTATATTCATGTAAATATACACTGTACATATTCCTTGTTTTAAAAAACTCAATTTATTGTTTTTTATCTCAAATGACTCAGTACATTTTTGATGGAGCTAAAATTCTTACTATGTTTTTCTGAACTTTTATTTTAAATTTATTGATACAATATAATAAGTGCATGATGATTTGATTTAAAAGAAAGAAACTCATCAAATCATTAAATTATTTATTTTTATGATAAGTTTCTTTGTGACTTTTTCAATGAATCGATGGTATAAAGTAATTAATTTTTTTTTTTCAGTTCTTTTCTACCTTGTCTTTTAGGCTATAGGGGATTTTCCCGGGCCGGAGGGTGAGGGCGGGGAATTTAAAATCCCCTCTAGCATCGGAACGCGAACTCGTACTTTTTTTACAATCTCAAAACTTGGTTATCTGGTTGCCGGACAACTCACGGTGCTGCACACACACGTTAGCCCATTTGGCCATCCCACCCCCATAAAGTGATTAATTATAAAAGATATAATCCTCATTCTCATTGTCTCGCGAACATTTGTTGAATTATCGTAATTTAGGGCTAGCTTAAATCATTGAATAAATAAGTATATAAAATTTATCACTTAAAATTCTGCTCTAAAAAAAGTATGTATCAGTTTGTTTTTGGTTGCTAATTTTTTTTAGTAGGATTGTTAATTCCTGTTTTAAATTTCTCAATATCTGTTTACTTATTTACTTTTATTAGAATAATGTAGGTGTGACAGTTTGTTGATATTTGAGATTAATTATAATCACTCTTAAGCATTCGCTGTTGGTATTAACCAATTTTATAAATTTATTTAATTACACTGGAACTTAAAAAAATTAAAATTGAAGGGACCTCTGATAAAATTTGAATTATTCAATTTTATAAAAATCTATCTAAAAATTGACCTTTGAAAGGTCAATTTGAACATAAAATACAATGTCATCGCGTTTAATGGCTTTTGGCTGAAAAATGTGTTTAATATATTGGCCCAATAATACAACATTAAAACAATTCAGGTAGAATAAAACATCATCATTTATTTATGGTTCAAAAATTTTAAAGTTTTAAGTAAATTTTTTTAAGCATTTGCAAGAAACGTTTGAATTAAAAATTTTCTAATTATCTGACTTCAACTGTACGTAATAGATTATTACTTTAACATATTTATTGTATTTTATATTACTAAATGTAATCAGAAAAATAAATAGACCATCCTAGCACGACTTAAAAAATCTTAATGGATAATTGTTATTTTAAATGTTAAATATTTTTCCTGTGTAGAGTAAAATTATCAAAAATTTAGTTTTTCATTACTTTATTATCTATAATTTGTTGGAGTAACATCATACTTTGTTCGAAATTGCTTATGACCTGGATGTTTTGCATCCAAAAATAAAAACAGCCAAACCAAACATAGTTCAAAATTCACTATTTTTTAAGAAGTGCATTTTAAAGTTTTAATTTTTCTGTTGACTCAGGTCAACTGAATGCTACAGATGTGTATTTCCTTAAAAGATTAATGTCAATGTTTATAATCTTACTTCATTTTTACTTGTTTCATTGTATGAATACAGTAGTCAATTTTAATTTTAAAAAATGGTGCGGAGTTTCACAAAACTTTTGCTTACCCACTCTATTTTCAGTAGAAATCAATTTTTTTTAAAGAAATAAACAATTAAAGATATGATTTTCACATTAAATGCAAACATTCCACAATTAATATATAGTATGAAAATTCTAAGTACTATATATATTTTGTATGTCAAGTTAAAAAATTTCCACTTAAATTTATGTAAATCCTGGAAAGATTTATTTTCCATTTGATATTATTTTTTATGTAGTAATGTCTACCTTTATATTATAAAATTATTAGTTTTTCAGCCTTTTTCATAACACAAATTGTAATTTTCTAGAATTATCAGCTACCCAACAATGTTATTCTGTATCTGCACTATTATTTCCAAAAATCTGTTTTAACCTGGAAAAATATTTTCAATTTGTTTATAAAAAATTTTCATAGTTTATATTTATCTATTTTACTTTCACTTATCTATTTATGAAATCCATAGTAAAGGACAGTATTGCGATCGTGAAAATTTTCGAATCTGAGTTTTCAGCGGAAATACATGTTTAAGACCTCATGAGTCTAAATAACCAAGTCCCGCAAAATGGTCTGTGTGCGTGTCTGTATGTATGTATGTGAGAGGTCTAGCTAAAAAATCGAAAAGTCGTACCTGAGATGTTACATTTTTTTTTATCAAAATCGGCAAACCGGAAGTGGCATTTTATATCATCGATGAAACACATTTTTACTATTTTCTCGAAAACAATTTATTTTATTATATCAGTGTAAAATCAGGTAGTTTTTAATATTATGTAGATTTTATTCTTATTGATTTTCTATATTAGCTTCCTCTAAAGTACCTTCAATTTTTTTTATTTGAAACAATTAACCTTTTCACATTGATTTATCATAAGAGACTAACAAAATTAATGTTAATTTAGAAGAAGGCATTATGAAAATTGAATTTATAAAGCCTGTCATACTATTTGAATGGAGATAAGGCATACTCGATATTGAAGACTATTTAATGAATGATACATTGTTGTTATGAATGAGACTGAGATTGTAAGAACATTAAATTGTGTAATAAAGTATATTTCTGCAAAAAAAAAAAAAAAAAAAAAATTATCTAACAAAGCACAAAAAAGAAGGAATTATTTCTTAAATGGACTTATTAAATTATATAATGCGTTCAATAATAATTTTTTGTTGTGCAATTAACGTCTTTGTTTTCTTGATAGTTTTGGAACAAAACTCTTGAATTAAGATTTAGAAGAGGTGTGGTGTACTGGTTATAAAACAGATTCCAAACTAACCTTATGAAGGCTGAAAATTCATTAATTAAAGTTCTAACAAAGGGGCATTGAACAACTGGACTAAGTGATTTTCTCGTATTTATTTTAATACAGGATCATATTACTTCAAAAGTTTACCTAACATGTTAGAAGTAAAAAAAAAAAAATCATGATTTTTGTGAATTTTCGAATAATTAAAAAAAAGATATTATGGTGATTCTCAGATTATGGGCAATTTTCATGAAATTTTGTTTAGTAATTTTGACTGAATTTAAATACAATTTTCTAAATACCTATACCTTCTATTGCCGCTCAGCTTTATTTGAGCAAGTGGCCAAGATCAAAAGTGCTTTTTGCTCAGAAAATAAAGCTAATAATTCGGTTGTGGGAATGAAACGAGTTTTCAGCTAGGTAATGACATTTTCATGCGTTGTATTCGACTAAAGCCGCTGTGAAACTATTATTATAATTTTTGTTTTTTCCGACTTGCTACAAACCGTAGTCAAACGTGAATTGTAACAAATTAAATAATTTGAACAGATAGCGGGATAATATACGCGGTGGTAATGACAACAAAAAAGGTAAGATACATGCTCATCGTATAAGAAACGTATGGGTTGTGGGAGGCTCCCCAACTGGTCGGTCTATCCGCTTGTTGCTGTCTTTTAACTCCATGGCTACTACTACACTCTAAAGAAATTCTCTCACTCTTCCCTCTTTTCAACGCTCAAATATCTGATGTTATGTTTTTTGCTTGGTAATGATATCAATGCGATGGGACAATGTTTGAAAATACATAAACATAATTTACTGTTAACAAAAGTTTAAAAAGAAAAATATATAATTCAAAATGTCTTTAATATTGTTTAGGAGTGGAAGTAAATTTCACTGTCATTTTATATAGGTTTCGAAAGAAAAAAAAAATTGTTTACTAGAAAACTGAGAGTGGGACAATGTAATGACATTTTAGTAGCTTAAGTAATTATAAAATCATACTATTCTTTTATAATTTTATTTTTAATATTTCATTATGAAAAATATTTCTTCACTGTATAGCGTGAGGAAAAAAAACAAGTTAGAATTAACTAATCACGTAAAAGTGGACTAAAACTTACCCCTAAAATGAGAATCGCCCATTAATGGATAACTTTTGATTTGTGTTGAGCACCCCAAGATAATATAAAATAAGCCTCTAAAACAATTACGACAGAATTTATTATTCAGTGAAAAAATTGCACAATCCGTCTCTGAGACTATGAAATGATACTCCATTCATTAAAAACACACATCTTTATAGTGGTGATTGTTAGTATTACTTAAAAAATCATAATTGTCGAGATTATAATGCAGCAAGTAAGTGTTATGTATTATTTTTTACCTCAAGAATACACCAAAGTAGTACTTTAAAAATATCATAATAAAGGAATTTTAAAGTTAAAGAACATATCTCTTATTTATACTTATCTTGATTGTATAAAAAATCTTAAAAAAAAAAACGTGTGTTGAGACTGTGGTGCTTACTTAAGTCATAAAGTGATATAGCTACCGACTACTAGGGGCTCAATTCCCCCACAACAAATTGCTATAGTATGAATTTCATGAACAATATCGATCGTGTACATTACAATTCCATTACAAAGGACTGTCTCCATCTACTCTAGTGGCTATAGTAGAATTTGTGTAATAGTGTCCTATTTCGGATTCATGCACTCACCTAAACTGTAAAAGGAATCATTTATTAAAATACTGTACTGTTTTAGTTTAATATATTTGATGAATTCTTGAAGGAAGTTAGTCGACTGTTCTACATATCATGAGTGATAAATATTCAGGATGCAGTCTTTTTTTAATTTTTTTTTATTTTTGCCAACGTTTCAACCCAAACATGTGGGTTGTCTTGAGGGCTGAAAATGTTTTTAAAAAATTACAATCAGAGATATAATAGTATACGACCGCTAATTATAAATAAGAAACTATAGTGATTGATGGCACATGAATCTTAACTAATATGGTAATACACATATTAAAATTAAATATTAAAATAGTTATACAAACTAAAACTAAAAAATAATGTATATAATCCATTTATACAAATTTGTATATAATCCATTTATACAAATTAGTGATGGATTATATACATTATTTTTTAGTTTTAGTTTGTATAACTATTTTAATATTTAATTTTAATATGTGTATTACAATATTAGTTAAGATTCATGTGCCATCAATCACTACAGTTTCTTATTTATAATTAGCGGTCGTTTACTATTATATCTCTGATTGTAATTTTTAAAAAAACATTGTCAGCCTTGAAGATGACCCACATGTTTGGGTGGAAGTAAATTTCACTGTCATTTTATATAGGTTTCGAAAGAAAAAAAAAAATTGTTTACTAGAAAACTGAGAGTGGGACAATGTAATGACATTTTAGTAGCTTAAGTAATTATAAAATCACACTATTCTTTAATATTTCATTATGAAAAATACTTCTTCACTGTATAGCATGAGGGAAAAAAACAAGTTAGAATTAACTAATCACGTAAAAGTGGACTAAAACTTACCCCTAAAATGAGAATTGCCCATTAATGGATAACTTCTGATTTGTGTTGAGCACCCCAAGATAATATAAAATAAGCCTCTAAAAACAATTACGACTGAATATTTATCACCCTTAAATATATTTGTTTTGAAATACTTTTTTGTCATCAGGAAGGGCTTGAAACAACTCAATACTTGCCTGAGATGGCAATTTTTCATATAGACATATATTATGTATTGCATATATAGGATATAGTTTGCCCTCCTTCCCTCCCCAATAATTTTTATAAGTCAGGCACCTATGTGAAGTGATAGAATTTATTTATTCTAATCATGGTTGTAAAATTTATTGACAGTTTTATAATTTTTTCTTTTTCTTTTAGGACATTGCAGCGTATATTAAGAAGGAATTTGATAAGAAGTACAACCCAACTTGGCATTGTATCGTTGGAAGAAACTTTGGCAGTTACGTGACTCACGAAACCCGCCATTTTATTTATTTCTATCTGGGTCAGGTCGCTATTCTCCTCTTCAAGAGCGGCTAACCTAGCGGCCGTCGATCACAACGGAGACCTTCCATTTATTATCCTTACTCCTACTCCTATTCTAACTTCCAATGTAAATCCCGACAACTCACAACAGTTTCTTTCTCTGTAGCTGTACAACTGGTCTCCTTCAATCTTCAACTTTAATATATTTAAATAATAGCGTCGTCACTAAAAATATATTGATGTAATCATTTGTTATTTTTTGTCTTTTTATATTTTATTTTCTAATTTTTTTTTTTTTTCTCCTTAAATATGTTGATAAAATTGCATTTTTATATTCTGTACCTGAGAGTCTTTGAGACTATTGTAGCTGCTAACAGGTCGCAGGAATAAGAAAAGAAGAAATTTTGGTTGGCTGCAAACGCATAACGGCTTCAATCACGTAATGTCTAAATATTTAGAATCAAAACTTGCCAATCGACGATTACCAAAGAAGCTATTATGTCAAGCACTCACGTATCTGCCCATGCTTATTTCTTTTCTTATTCAGCTCAAGTTGACTTTATGTACTTAAATTAATAAATACTTTGTGCTGTTTTTAAATCGGCTTAAATAAATCGCCTTTGAGGTACAGAAATATGTAGATAAATATGTCTAAATGTGAGTACAACTTTTGCACTATCTAATACAAGCAAGTTTTAACTTTAATGTATGTGAATATTTATAAAAAAAAAAAAATGTCCATGATACGACTTTCTCTTGTGATGCACTTTAGTTTATTTAATACACAGTGTATTTTTTAATTATTATTGGCAGATGTACATTAAAAGAAGTGATAATTATTATTAGTTGTATAGGAAGTCAAAGGTGTTGACGAAAAGGGAATATATTATTACATTCCTATCTCTCATGTGTTTTTAAAATATTTGTTCCCACCTGTTGTAGGTTATAATTATTTTTTAAATGGTTTATCCGCTTGTTTTATTTTCTTCGAGATTTTTAACTCGAAATGATCTAATTGTTAATGTATTATTTATGTAAAGATTTATAATATTTTGTTGTATTAATTTTGAGTCCATTGTTCATTTTTTATTAGATTTATTTTGTAGATGTATTACATTAGGGTGTACAAAATATAAAGAAAAAAAAAGAAAATAATAGCTATTTACACTGCTATTTAACAACATGACGATATATATTTTTATGTATCGTGTATCTGTTTCACTAAATTAAATGTTAATTAATCTATAAATATTTTTTTGTTTATTTCAAAACCTATTCCTTTATTCAAAAGCAACAGATTATTGCTGCTCCATATATTAAGCACCTCTCAATGGCGTAGACGAAAGATAAAGTAATTGAAATTTTGATTTATACTGTGATCTTATTACATTGTGGGACTGCCTTGTTATCTAAATGTATTAATATTAATATTAGTAATAATAATAAAAGGCCTATCGAACACAAAGGTTCGATGCCGACGCCACCGATCGCTTATTACACACCTCCCTCCACTGTTTGCTGTTTAAACCCAGCCCCAATCCCTTCAGATTGGCTTCAATGCAATCTTCTCACCTTCGCTTCGGACGATTACCATTCGGTACAGCAAATATTAACGTTTTAGGAATTCTTTCGTTACTTAGCCCAACATATTAATATTAGAAAGAAGGATGACCTGAGGTCCACACATCAAAATGAAAAAGACTTCAAACAAACAACTGAAAATACTATATTTACTTTTTTGAAAATCAGACAAAAGCCAAATATACACACACCTACTCAAACCCATATGGATATACACCTCACAAATTCATGGTTCAGCAAAAAAAAATGAAATTACAAAAACTACAATATTTTCAATTCAAAATTATAAGAACTACAATAAAATCATAATACTGCTCAACTGTGTTGTTAACTGACATGGCATACTGTCAGTAATCTGTCTGATTGACAATATCTTGTAAAACGATTCAGCTTGATATGCTTTGTATATAAAATGTCATTTTTTTTCTTTGATTTTGGCAATTATTACTTCCAATTAAACAACAATTGAATTTATTTGTTGTATTTCCAAATTACATGTTAACGTTTTGGGATATTTACTCCCATCTTCAGAACTACTACAATTCCAATGTTTTTTTGTTGATTTATGGCCAAAAAAATTGAGTTAAAATTTAGTGCATGTTACAATACATGTCAGAATTGGGTTGTTACATTAAATTTGTAATTACCTTTAATCTAATGTGCTCCATTGTCAGGTTCTAAATTCATGTTATAATAAATTAAAGTATATAATATCCAGAGCATCATCATGCTTTTAGAACAATTATTGGGTGTCTACCTCTAGCGGATCCAGGATTTAATTTTTTGGGGGTGGGCTTCAGCCCGAAAGGTTTTTTTTTCATAAAAATGACGATAATTACTTAGGAAAAAAAGAAAGAAACTGACTATCTATAGTCCAGGGAAGCGTTACGGGTGGTTGAAGGATAACCCGATCCCAGCTGAGCTGCCGAGAAGAGATGCAGTTGCCTGCTTCCGCCTGGCCACTGGTCACGACTATCTGCAGAGTCATCTCTACAAGATAGGCGTCGCTGAGGATCCTACCTGTAAATTGTGCCATCTAGGAACAATGGATGCAGACCATCTAGACGCATGTCCTGCCTTGAGGGACATAAGCGACAAAAAATTTTCAAATATACATATCAGAAAATCGAAATTATACTGGGCAGCAAGATGTCGGATGGCCAAATGACCAACGAATGGCATAAGAAAAAAAAAAAAAAAAAAAAAAAAACTATCTATATGAAATGGTGTTTAAGTGATTCCTTAAGTCCTTTTAAATGTAATTACATGAACAATAATACTTTAAGAGATAATTTTTCAATATATTTTTCCATAAAATATGGTTATATTTTACCATTTTGGAGGAGGGCTTCAGCCCGAAAGCCCTCCTCCCCGTATATCCGCCCGTGGTGCCAACCAGGGTGAATACAATTGACCTTTGGATATGACTGTTTATTTTTTATGTAGCTGCAATTTCATTTTTATTAAATTGAAATTTCGTTTAAAATGTCAGCATAATGTGTTCCTAAATGTTTGGAGTCTGTTTTATAATTTACTGTTGTTTTTTGTGATGTGTATGGCTTCAAGTAATTTTGTATTGTTGTTTTTTGGTTCTGTTCCTAATATCTGTGGTTGATTGAAGTTGAATTTATGCTGTGATGTGCTAAAGCTGTTGTGTTTGTTTTTTGTATTTTTACAGTTAGTAATGTGTTGTGAAATTCTGGTCCCTAATTGTTTGGATGTTTCACCAATGTAGATTTGTTTATCTTGTTTATTAAGTCTATTTTATCTTTTGTATTGGTGATTTGCCTGCTCAGTTTTTTATTATTATTGTATTGTGCAAGTTTGATTTCTGTTGTCATAATTTGTAAACACGTCTTTTATTTTGTTAGTAAGTTCAGGCATCTATGTCATTTTGTAATAGTGGTTAAAGTCCAATTTGTTTGTTTGTGGTATGTCATTCTGATTGTTCTCGTTTGTTGGATTTGTTTTTTCAAAAAATTGAGTGATGAATTGTGTAGGTTTCTTTATTGTAATGTTTTATTTTGGTGTTTTTTGTGTTACTTGTTTTTTCGTTCTATTTTTGTTATGGTTTTGTGTTGTATGTAAACGACTGTACCAAAGTTTGTTGATTAAGTTTATAGGGTAAAAATTCTCAATAAGTATTTTGTATATTTCTGTTTTTATTTGTGGAATGTAAGTTTTGTCTGTAAGTTCTATTGGTTTGTGAATTAGGTTCTTGGCTGTATTAATTATTTGATATTTTGGATGGTTTGAGCAAAAGTTAAGGATTCTATTACTGTTTTTTTCTTTTTTTGTCCATTTGGTAAGTATCTGTCCTTTGTCCAAAATTATGTCCATGTTCAAAAATTTGAGTCTGTTGTTTGTGTCTTTTTGTATTGTAAATCTGATTCTTTTGTTATATTGGTTGAAGCTTTTCATTATTTTATTTTCCGTATCTTATAAAGTAGCAAGTCATCTATGTATTTTTTATTAACAATGTTTTTTGTTGTAAGTTAGATAGTTGTGTTGTGATCAGTTTAATTAAAGATATGCCACTTAAATTCGCTGACAGAGTACTTCCCATCCCGACTCCCCAAAGTTGTTTATAAAATTCACTATTATATTTGAAATAGTTATTTCTTGTACATAGATTTATTCCTTTGATGAATATTCTTTTGTCTTTAATTTTGGTTTCACTTTTTATGCTGTCCCAGTTGTCATCTATAATTTTTATACATTCATCTAATGGGATATTAGTAAAAAGTGGTTCAGCACCTAACCTTATACTTTCTATGTCTTTTATATTATATTGGATATTTTAAATTATTTTTTTCAATTCCATAGCATTTTTGACATCGAAGTTATTGTTATTGCTAAGAGTGTTTGTATATAAAATGTCATTTGTTGTTTTCTTTCTTTTCTCATCCTCGTTCTTAATTCTGTCACCCGAATCCATAAAGCAATGACCAGATTTAATAGAGATGGTGGTACAGGATTCAGCGAGTCCAAAATAATGGAATCCGGCATACTCTATATCTCATTCTTTTCAATACCTAACTTTTCCAAAAACTAGCAGTCGAAAGAGGAATTGCCTATCTACTAGCAAACCAAAGTACTTTTTTTTTTTCTTGCATAGTAACCCTAAGCAGGAGGAGTTTGTTTGCAAAAGTTTACATACACCATGTGAATTCGCATATTATATGTATAAATGTTATGCTGACATTTTATCTATGCTAAGCTTTTGTTTTTTAATAAAGTCATCAAAAACAGTTTGAACTTATAAAATAAAAATTGAGTTTTTTATATATAATTTAGGCCAAAGGTCACCAAATATACACAGTTTTTATATCCTGTATTTTTTATTCGACGTTTCGGCTTCAGGAGCCATTTTCAAGATGCTGCAAAACATGCACCGCGCCATAAAATCCTGTATGAATGCCCTAGTGAGGAGCAACAATTTTCTTGATATCGTCTGCGAAAGAGGTACATAAATCGAGAACTAATAATATTCTTTTTAAAAATAATATTAACCATCTATTTTAATTTATTATTTATATATTATAATTTTTTATGAGTGAAAAAACGACATTCTTTGAAATAAAAGAATGACTAAAGGACGAATCATATCGCAATGATAGATTTTAAAAATTTTATGGCGCGGTGCATGTTTTGCAGGATCTTAAAAATGGCTCCTGAAGTCGAAACGTCGAATGAAGAATACAGGATATAAAAACTGTGTATATTTGGTGACCTTTGGCCTAAAATATATATTAAAAACTTATGAGAAAATGGCATCAAACCTGAAGGATGTGACTAGGAACATAAAAATTGACTTTCTCTCCACCTTCTGAAAATTACAGAAATCCGTCTTTGATATGAGGTCACTCATATGTTTTAACTTGTAACTTGTGACATTGTAACATGAATTATTTGTAGTTAAAATGTTCAATATTACAGATAATTTTTTATAATAGTTATTTAAGCATTTATTTTTATTTATTTATTTTTTTCTCGCTTCTACCCTAAAGGGTTTTTTTTATAATTTATATTCTGTTATAGTAATTTATAATCTTTAAAAATTGAAACACGATAGAGACTCGCTCTTCATTATATTGTAGGATATCTCTTGGTACTTTTCCTAGATCTTTTTTTTTTCTGTGGCTTTTGAATTTAGGACATTCTACTAGAAGGTGTTTCACAGTTTGCGGTGTATTATTGCATTTTTTGCAAGTAGGAGCTTCTAGGCCTCTTAAAAGCTATTTGTGAACTGGCAGTGCCCAATCCTTAGACGACACAGTATAATTTCTTCATGTCTGGAACTTCTAGTGCTATGGAGCCATTTATCACAATTAGATTTCATTTCTTTCAGGTAACACTCTTTATTTAAAACTTTATGAATAGGCAGATGTACTAAGCTATGTAAATAAGAAGAATCACTAGGTCAGTATTTACTTAATAAATATTCCCACGAGTGTTACAAATAAAAGTTTAACTTGTAGTTATTCAAGTTCTTAAAAAAAGTTGAATTAAATGATAAATAAATAGTAATTGGGCTTAGATTACAGTTAAAATTTGTCTTGAATGAATTACATATGATTTTAATGTACCATTTGTTTGAGTAGCTATGAAAAAAGTAATTTTTTATTTTGAATGCTTAGAAAAATTGATATAACCTTTTAATAAAA